TCAGCATCACTGCGGTCCAGCTGGCACTACGCCACCTTACTGGCAGACAGAGCCGCTCCTGTTCCTGGCTGCCCTGATTTACCCCTCAAAAAGTGGTTAAACGTCTGGGATAGATGCATTCGCCTAATTCCTAATTCACACTTATTTTTCTAGCATTTCCATGTGAGGCATGTGGCCTAGGATGTTATATAACAGCTTTTAATCACTTGACAATTACAGAGTGCTAACACACCGCTGTGTGTGCTGGCAGCTTCCTGGTCGTTCCTACAGGCAAGCAGACTTTATGCTCTGGGTTAGTAATGTGAGTGACAGAGCAATAGCTTGGACTACCATCAACACGAGGATCAAATCTGACAAAACTAAAAAAATACCATGAAAGACACCAGCTCCTGATGGACAACATGACGTCCACACAAAATGTTGAGGACAATCACCACATTTGTCTAAGCAAAACGTCGATTTTTTTTTCCCTAAACAAAAATCTTTGTTGAAAATACAAAAGTGCCAAAAAATGTTTCCTAAGAATCTATTTTTCCAAATCCTGTGTGATGTTTCATTTGAATGGGATTTGGAGTAGAATGAGAAGCAAAGGAAAGTCTCAACAAATACAGGAATACAAATGTGTGTGTGTGTGTTAAAAGGTAACAGGAAGTTTGCCTTCTTCTTTGGACAGAGGGAGATTACACTTTACCCTAGCAATCTCCCAGACCATTTAAATGTTCAAAGCTTTCAAGGTGGGTTGCCAAATTGGCATTTTTTCTTGTGATATCAGTGGAGTCAGTTTAATAGAATTAACTGTAAAATCACTTTACAGCTCAGCTTCTTGGTATCCTTATTTTCACAGCATCTCTCCCGGGGAAAGCAAATGGAAAAATCCTGTTCATTCTCTCTCGTAAATTTTCATGATAGAAGATACAAGATACAAGAGCCAAGAACCCTGATGCTCTTGGCATCCCAAAAAATTACACATGGTTATTCATCGAAACACTGGTGCCAAGGGTAGGTGATTTCTCTTTACTGCTCTCTTGCACTTGGTCAAGGTGCTCTGGTAAAAGTAACAGAAGTCTGCCCACATTCCTCCTTTCCTCCACAGCAATCCCTGACATATTTAATAATATCTGCCTACAGTAGGTATCTGGAAGAAACACAGCAGTGAACGTCCACATTCTACTTCCTTTCAAGGCAAATGATAATATCTTCCCCACTCATTTGTTTGAAAAGTTGCTAACGGGTTGATCTCAATTGCAATTTAATTTTCCCCTCATTTTTTGTGATTAAGGACAGACTTATCTGTTTTTCTTCATGTGTAAATGTTTGCCAAAACAGGCATTCACATCTGTTGCATGCAGACGAATTGTGAAGTTACTGAGCCCCTTGAATAAGATATACAGTACTGTACGCCAGGGAGCTTAGTCTGTCTTTACTTTGGTTGTTCTTAACCATTACAGTGGAAATTGAGATGAACAAGCCTACACACATTTTGCTAGCTAAAATCTTAAATGGTATTCAAATAAAAATCTTATTGTTGTCCCGAGGAATATTTCAGATTTTCCAACATCACAACGCAATGATTTTTTTAAACTGACATCTTTTCTGGATTCATAAGCCCTGTGGAAAAAGCTCTCTTGAGTTTATGAGACAGATAGAATTTTGTAAAAATTCTTTAAGTGAAGAAAAGGTAGTAATCATAAAGAAACTATCATAAAGGTAGCCTTTATGATAGTTTCTTGGTCTGAGTATTGTGGTAGCTAAAAAACAAGACAGGGAAGTCTAAATATCAGCTAACCAGATGTTTCTCCACCTCCTCAATCCCATGGCACACTTACGTAAATACAAACATTTTGTGGTGTGCCACATGCAGTTACACCTCTCAGTGCCAAGCACAATATTATCAATATTATAAACAAAATTAATTTTTATTTCAGCGCTTGTTGGAAGTAAGTATTGAAGGCAGTAAAATGAGATGAGGATTTCTTTGAAGATTGTCCGTAAATACTACACACAAAACAACTTTCTGTATGGCACAGGAAGGTGGGGGAGTTCAGTATACAGGACATGGTTGAAACTAAGTTTTAGTTTTTTTTTCAACTATTTTGTCTGAACCTCAAACTTCCAAATTGTGTTATTCTGTGGGATTGTTGTCCAAGACAGACTATGCAAACAGCAAACTTTGTGACCTCTGGGTGTTGAAGTACTTTATTTTTTATTGCCTGCCATTGAAGAGTGTTGAAACAACAAGAAAAACAGAACTAGAGTTATGAAACTCTCAAGTGGACAGCGCATACATTTGTCTTTCAGATTTGTCTTCCCAAATTGGAGCCAGATTGCTTTAACATTTTCCCCCTTTTCCTCACTTTTATTTACTTTACTTTAATAGCATTTCATGAAATTTAGATACAGATTTTCATCTTAAGGGATCACAAAGGACTTTACAGGATTAGACACTTTACTAAACATTCGACTGAAACCATTTCATCCAGTCCTGAAGCTCAGCCCCTCCCCGAGTGTCACACAGCCCCCATTCTGATACCATGCAGCAGCAGACCATCTGCACAGCAGCAGAGGTGATGGAGGGGTCAGTAGTTCTTTCAGCACTTGAATTAAGAGGAATGTGAGAAAAGAAATACCAGAGAGTCAGGGCCTTGGTTTAATGTCTCATCTGAAGGCATTTCTTATCGCACCCTGTTCCTTGTCCCCATACCAGGGTGCTGGCAGCTGAAATAGCTTTGGCAATGCTTGTACCAAAGGGTGCTGTAAATATGTTCTCTACCATAATAATGGTGCCAATTTCTGCTTATGTTAACATGCCAGTGGGGTGAGGCGCTGGCTTCCTCTTTCTTATTGTGTTATATAATGGATGACTGCACTCCAGGAACTCTCTTGTGCAAGTGTGCAAAACGCTAACGTGTGCATGCAAGCACATGTCTTAATGATACTACTGACTCATCTCTTTCATGTTTTCGGAACCTCGGATGTGGTTGTATTTCATCACCGATCCCGTGTGCTCTCAGTCTTCTGCAGCCCGTTCCTTACCGAAGTTACCTTCTTTCCAACATTATTCAGGGGTTGGGGCTACCAGGGCTTGTACAGTATGAGAAATACCCTTAACACAGTGACACTTTACTTAAATAAACTAGGCAGTTCAATTGTCGGAGTGTTACTCAAGTGAACGACTTAAAGTAGTTCAGGTGGGGAGCCGCGTCAGCATGCGTAGGCTGCAAAGGAACAAGTAATAGGTTTATTCCATGCTGAAAAGAGAAAAGAGAAAACACAACGTTTCGGCTGTGAAGCCTTCTTCAGGTGTGAACTACTTAAAGCCGTGCTGGTTGTCTGTGGTATTTTAATGCTTTGTGAAACCAGCTTGCTAATTTATGGTGACTTGCTCTCAACATGTGTAGTTTTTATGTTAAGTGAACTCCTGGGCTACAAAGCAAATCGACAGATGGTCTAGACACTGTTTTGATGATTTAAGACTTGTGTATGAATAACATGAACTTCAAGCCCTCCTAAGCCAGCACACAAGCCTGTTCATAGACAGAAGCTCATAGATTAGCCAGAGAAAACACCTCTGCTAGTCTCCTTTTTCCTTATTTTTTAAATATAGTACTTACACTCAATATAATATTTACATACTGTATAATACATGTTTTTCAATATTTGTAAAATTGTAGTGTCAGAAATCATGTTCTGTCAGCAAACTGTTCTTACAAAAGACAGAGTTTAGATGATCAGGTCACTTGGGGGGGCAGCTCAGCGGTGCAGTGGTTAGTGTTGGTGCCTCACCGTGCTGAGGCCCTGGGCTCCATCCAGACCGGGAGTGTTGGTGCAGAGTACTCTATGTCAGGTTTCCCAGTGTTCACATGCTTTTCCCTGTGGCGTCCCGGTTGCCTGTCACAGTCCAGAAACACACTAGTGGGTAATTAGCTTCTGAGGGGGTTTGCCCGGGTGTGAGTACACAGTATGCGTGTGTCTGTGTGCACCAGGCGGGGGGCTGGACCCAGCCTTGCGCCTGTTGCTTGCCGAGCTGGGCTCCGGCACCTCCGCCACCCTAAGCTGGAGGAAGGTGTTAGAGAACGGATGGATGGGGTGTCTCTTCGGGTCCACTGTCACTTCTCATTTCATCGGTGTTCCACTTGGAAATCGAAACAGGTGAAACAGAGGAGAACAGAAACCCGAGTGGCATCCAGCTGCACAGTTGGGAAAGTACGTCTATCACCACAACAGCAACATTAGTTACACGGAACTGTGGAACTCCTAAGACAATCCTGCTGGGAAATGAGTGCAACGGGCCAGACAAACGCGCTATCTGGTGACAGGCCTCTCTTCTGCCCTGGAGAGCTATCCCACAGTATGTGCTCCATTATGGATTTCTGGATAGTTTGTCCATTTTATCCCCCTTGGCAGCTACACTTACAGATGTACTCTATTAAGCTTCCGAGAATTAATAACGTTTCCATTTGTTTTTCTTCAACGACATGGCAAGCCAGCTCTTTAACATCACAGGACTCCCACACATTTGGCTAGACTTAGGAAAAAAAATGCTCAGACTTTGAACCTGAATGAGACAAATGTTTGAAAGAAGAATTATACGTTTCATGTTTTACATCAGGTGTTAGTGTTTAAAAATCTGACCGAAAAAAACAGTAAAAGATATTAAGAATCTTGTGTTTTGAGTGGGGTTCTCTATAACTTTATCAGTATATGTACTATAATCCAAAAGTAAGCTTCTGATATTTAATAAAATTTATTTTAATATTTAATATAAATATTATTTTTTATACTGTATGAAATCAGCATTGCATATTTGAATTTATTGTGTAAAAGCTGAATAAGCTATTATATGAATTTTATTAGAGGTCTAGAAAGGCAAAATAGGAATATTTATATCCACACCAGTTTATATAACACTGATAGTTTTGTATTTGCATTAATGAAAATATAATCAAAAAGGACAAAACAGGAAAGGGAAAAGAAAGACAAAAATGAGTGAAAATATTTTAGCAATATAAATTTCCATTTTGTTATAAACAAAAAAAGAGTCAATCCAGTGTAAACTTTGTAAGAAAAATATATTCATCATACTTCTGTACACTGCATGATGAGTTTGGCTTCCCTAGAAAAAATAATACTGTAAAATGCTGTTGAAAACAGTAACACATCCACAGTGTCTTTCTAAAATTGTTCACCAGTCAGCCTTCAGGATCAGTTATCTCAAACATGCACTTTGGGAGACTTTTTTGGGGGATGTAAGCAGACCATCAGAATTTCCAGAGAATCGTTCCAGAACTGTAACGATATCCCCCAACATGTTAGAAACTTACTCTCTTTCCACATATAGCAGTCCCACTTTCAGACCAAGTTCATTTGCCTTTAAAACATGAAATCAAAAACAGTTGCGAGTTCCCTGACCCGTTTGAGTTACAATAAAAATAACACTTTTTTTACCATTCCCTGTGTCTGCCAAAGCACTATGTAAGGCTCAGTCTGCCTCCCTCCTGCTTGTCTGCTTCTGCTTAGAAAAAAGCCAGTTTAGAATCTCCCCAAGCAAGAGCTGCTAATGGTTAATTGAAGGAAAAAGGCAATTATTTAGGCAACATTCATGTGTCTGGAGCTGCTGCACTGCTGCTGCCCTCATTAAATGACTTGAACATACGTTATTCTGGAATCAGTGCCAAGGTGATTCCTGGCAAGGCACTTGTAGGTCCCAGAATCAGAACGAGTGGGTTTCTGAATGACCAGCGTCCCCTGAGGGTGAAGCAGCTCGCTGCCCATGGGGCGGCCTTTTCCTGCTGTGGAAATTATGGAGCGGTCTGGCAGCTCCCACGTAATTTCGGGCTTGGGGATCCCGATGGCCGCACAGTGAAGTTGCACAGCCGCCCCCGCCTGTGTCCGGGCGCTCTGGGGGGGGCCGTTGGTGATTCGGGGCGCGTACCCCACGACGATCACGGGGACGGTAACGGAGGCCTCCCCGGCGTCGTTCCTGGCGGTGCAGACGTAATTTCCGCGGTCGTGAAGCGCGGTCTCCCGGATCACCAGGGTCCCGTTTTCGAGGAGGACGTACCTCCCGTTTATCTGCGGCCTCGAAAGAACGTGCCCACCAGGAATCGACCAAAGGATTTTGGGCCTGGGGCTGCCGTCAGACAGGCAGTGCAAGAAGAGTGGTTCTCCGCTGACACTCTGGATTATCCCCCTAGGTCGGGTAAGTATGTAAGGCTTCTGGCCCACCTCCAGAACAATCAGCTTTTCGATGTAGCCGACTTTGTTCCTGGCAGCACATCTGTACTTGCCCGCGTCATCTTTACTGGGGTTATAAATGATTAAGTTGCCATCGCTTCCTAGCTGATACCTCGAGACCCTGTGGCTGTTGGTAAATCTTGTCCCGTTGGGCAAAAGCCAGATTATCTCGGGAGGAGGGTGGCCGTCGGCAGAGCAGTTCAGAATGGTGGTCTTGCCCGTGCTGGCCACGACTTTTTCATTGAAGGGATTCTTAAACATGGGCCTCCGCAGCATGCTGGTGACCTCCAGCTGCACTACCATGACGGTTTCACCCCCACCGCTGCGTGCCACGCACACAAACTCGGCGGTGTCGGTCGGCCTGACGTTGCGGATTTCCAGCGTGCCGTTCTTGTGAACCACGATGCGGCTCCCGTAGTACGGAGCGGTGATGAAAATGTTGTCGGGCATGATCCACATGACCTGAGGCGTGGGCGACCCCTCTGCCTTGCAGTCGATGAGCTTCCGGGTGTATTTGACAGCGGTTTCCTTCACTACGGTTTTGTTTCTGTACAGGCCGTTTATAGTGGGAGGATTAGCATCCACTTCTAGCTTGAAGACTTTCGAGTCATCTCCGGCAGCGTTCCGAGCCACGCACACGTACTCCCCCGAATCCGTTAACGTGAGATCTCTCACGGCCAGCGACCCGTTTACGTGCACCAGATGCCGGTCGCTGGAGGCTGTGATCATGTCATGTGACGGGAGGAGCCACATAATCTTCGGCTTGGGCTCCCCCGTAGCTTCGCAGTCGAACCTCACCATGTCTCCGGACCTGGCCCTGGCGTATATGGCGGCCGGGGACTTGACGCGGGGCGCCGCCGTCACGACTGTGACGTGCACCTTCATCTCGTCCTTCCCCACCGTGTTTTCGGCGTAGCAGGTGTAGTCCCCTTCCTCGGACAGGCTGACCCTGTTGAAGTACAGGGTCCCGTTTTCAAAAAGGACGTAGCGCCGCCTCCTGCCACCGTTGTCGTCCGCCTGCAGGGCGCTGTTGACCAGTGTCCCGTCCGGCAGGCCCCAGGAGATCTCCGGCTCGGGGGCCCCCGACGCTTTGCAGTCAACTCTGAGGTCATTCCCGTAAGGCACGTGCTTTTTGATGAACGGCTTGTACTCTATCTTGGCTGGCTTCATGGACACGCCGACCTTCATCAGCAGCAGGTCGTCTCCGATCCTGTTCCTGGCAATGCAGAGATAGTCGCCGGCGTCCTTCTCGCTCACAGAGTCGATAATCAGGCTGCCGTTGAGAAGCACGTGGATCCGGTTGCCCATCCTGGAAGCAAGAGCAAGGTGTAAGAAGAAGTGAGCTCAGCCATGAAACATTGCGAACAAACAGGATATGTGCCAAAGGGCAGTCCTGTGAGCTGAACAACTTGCGCGGATTAAAGTATGATCAATTTTCCTGTCCAATGCAAGTTAATATGCCAATATGTTGCTTCTCTTCACTCCCTGATCTTTACTCCTTTGTTCATTTATTAAATTTGCTTTGTTTTGTTGTAAAGTTCATTGAAAAAGTAAATGAGCTGTTATGAAAATGAAAGAAAAAGGCTTTACTAGATTTCTGTGCACACACAAACATACTTGCAATCTATGTTCACCAGATGTTTTGTCTGTAATTAGTGTGCTATAAAACAGTGATTATTAGAGATATGAATAATAAATTGCTCTATTGTATGTCTGCATTGTTAAGATGTATCATTGATGTTGCAAACTTATGTCATGACATTTCTGTTTGCCTTCATCAGGTAATTAACTATTAGTTGTTATCAGTCTACTGTATGTGTTTCATTATTCTAAATATATAATTATTTATAATGTTAAAAAGCTGCAATGAGGCAAAGCTAGACTGCATCAGAACAAGAAGTAAAAAAAATATTTGGATAATAAGCATTCTAGTCAACTAGGAAACAGTGTCAAAATGTTTAGAACAACTGAACTGCTGACATCATACTGTACCTACAACTACATTTTAGGTTCCTGGCAACTGCATAATTTACCTATGATCTTAAAGAATTTAAAGGATGTTGTTCTAGTTAGACTCTGATATCAGAATTATTTCTGTTACTTTTCTACACAAAGAACTCTGTTATTTCTTACTGATTATGTATTAATAATGTAGTGCACAAGAATTTATTCAAAATATAAAGTCTGACTGTGGGATGCCTTGGACCCTATGGTACTGTATGTGTTAATGTACCTCAACCTGAACTCTCGCCTAAGGACAATTTGCACCTAATATCTTTATTTTAAAAGTAAATCTAAGATTTGCCTCATGAGACATACATTAGTATTTTAATTTACTATCCAGATGTCACAAATTACAAACCTAAGTGAGATGTCTTGGTAATACAAAATGGAAAACTTGTTTTAGAGTGTCAGTTTGCAAGGCTAAGGCTACAATGTGAAAAATGCAGACTGCAATAAATAGGCCGTTGTGGGTTCAAATCCCAAGTGGGGGACACAGCTGTTGTACACTTCAGGAAGGTACTTTACCCCAACTGGTAAAACTTGCATTTAAAAAAAAATCTGTCCTCTGTCATAATAAGCAATGAACAAAAACAAACGGGTCTATGGATCTTCAAAACTATCAGTAAGCTGCATGGGGTTAAAACACTACTTGCATTATTAACAACATCAAGTTACAATAAAGCAACACTGCACTGATTGTCCAGTTCACCGACAAAAATACCAATTCACTGAACAGAAGTTTAGGTGAAGGTCAAATTCTAGTGTCGCACTTTTGCTTCCCTTCACTATGTATCAAATCTCCCTGGCTGCACACGGCGCTGTGTGCATCATGTCAGCTGCACCCTTGCAGCATACTGGCTCATACCTCGTAAGAGAGAGGTGATGTGACAGCGCTGGTCGGAGATTTCCTCTGCCGGGCTTTGCACTCGTCATTATCGGAATCTGACCGAACAACCGAACCGGTAACTGCAGGCCCTGAGGACCTTACCTGTGCCACTGATCCACAATTGCTTTGGAAGGCAGCCTCCAGAGAACCCGGGGCTTGGGCTCCGCCACAGCCGAGCAGTTAAGCAGTAACCTGTCTCCATAGCTCAGGTCAGTTTTGCGGCCCGACGCAGTGACGATCCTGGGCGCCGTCTCCGCCTGCTCCACGGTCAGGGTCACCACCCTCCTTTCGGAGCCCGTGGAGCTGGTGGCGATGCACTCGTACTTCCCGCTGTCGGCCGCGGCGAGGCTCTTGATGTACAGCGTCCCGTTGGAGAACACAAACACTCTGGGGTTGACGTAGTGCAAAGGTTTCGCCACCGTTCCGTCAAGCAAGACCCAGTGCACTGTGGGTTGAGGCGTGCCCTGGGCCGTGCATGGCAGTTTCAAGTGCCGCCCTATTTCCTCCTTCATGTGCAGCCTCTTTTCTTCCACAATGCTGGGCGGCGCAGCCACCACTTGTAACTTGACAGTCGCTGTGTCCGCCCCAGCAGGATTACTGGCCACACATTTGTAATGGCCCCGGTCATACACAGACACCTCCTTAATGATCAAGGTCCCACCCGAAGAGACGGACACCCTGCCGTTTTCCGCACCGTACCCCCTAACCAAGGTTTTGTTTGCAAGAATCCAGGATATGAAAGGTGGAGGTCGGCCTTCGGCTTTGCACTGAATTTCCACTGTGTTTCCAGAGAGGGACTGCATCTCCCTCACTTTGGGCTCCAAGATCCGGGAGGGGTACGTCACAATGGAGAGGGTGACCAAGAGCTTGTCAGAGCCGTGCTGGTTCTCAGCAAGACAGAGGTACTGTCCGCGGTCCTGAATGCTGGCGTTCTGGATGGACAGGGTCCCGTTCTCGAACACTTCGAACTTGTTGCCACGCTTGGTCTTCATGGTTAAGGTAGCCCCTGGCAGGTGTTACAAGAGAGCATTCAATCATGGGAAAAGCAACACACCTCTTTATGTTTTCTCCATTCACATTATGCTCCTAGAATATGCATGTTAGCATGCAGAAAAAAATCTAAAGCTTAAATTCTCATATTACTTGCTGCATATAGGCAACACATTATATTAAAAGAACAATGAAATATAAACTGCATATAACTATACTGAAAAAATAAACCTGTGACGTGTATTAAAAACATCCATTTAAGAGAAGAAACCTTTCATTTTGTTCAGTGATATGAGTAATGAAATATTTATATATTACAACAGATTTCACAGCTGTTTGATGTCTTAGAATATGTTAATGCAATGCTGATGTGTTAGACCGCCAATTGGTGTAATGTGTATCTTTTGCACATCTATGTGAAAGATGAGAATAAAATGAATCAGTAATTTATTTAGCAATAATACGGTACCTGAGGAAAGTTTGGTCCATCTTATAGAGGGAGCAGGATATCCAACAGCTTCACATGGCAGAAAAGCATCCAAATTGGAAAGGACTGTGAAGCTTGCTGCATTTCCACCCACGATTTTAGGCTTCGACGGCTGGTCTTTGGGCAAAGGCTCCATGGCTATCGCATTCGCTGTCGATGTGTCAAATCCAGCGCCCCGGTCCAACCTGGCAGCTATGGTATTGTCCTCCTCCCTGCCGAAAGCCTGCGGACTGTCAGTGTAGCCCTGCTCGGCCCTCAGGATGGCCAGGGTGTCGAAGATCACAGCCTTCCCTTTCTCCCTGGACTCTGAATTGGGTTTCTCCCGCATCCTGCTGCCCCTCCCAGGGGACTCTGTTGATTTAGATCGTGTCCCAGATGTTGAAATAGTGGGTATTTGTGCTTCGGGCTTGACAAAGTAACTTCCACCTCCCGAGCCGGGTTTACTGTGTTTTCTGGTAGTTGAAAATGTAGTGGGCCTGACTTTTTTAAACAGCGGGCTTTGTGTTGTGAATCTGCTAGATTTAACTGAGGGAGCCCTCGGACGAGGTTTTGCAGTGCTTGCAGCAGCTGCAGTGGTGCTCTTAGCTGTACATTTAGCTCCTGTTGTGGTTGTGGGCTTGACTGTAGGTGCAGGTTTAGAGGTTGTCGCTGCTGTTTCTGTTGTTGTCTTGGGTTTGGCAGTTCTCGTGAATCCTGCGCTAGGAGGCAATGGAGTAGCAGTGATTTTTCTTGCAGATGTAATGCTTGTTTCAATTTTGGAAACTGTTCTTACTGTGGCTGTGGTGGGTTTAGTTGTTGAAACGCTGTCAGCTTGCGGTGTACTTTCTGTCTCTTTGGAATCTGCATCCGTGAAAGAAAAAGGGCGCTGTGCTTTTGAGAATGTATGTGTAGAGACAGACAAACCGCCTTTGGCTGCTGCTGTGGTTGTTTTTGAAGTTACAGGAGTGTCAGCTTTCTTCAGCTGAGTAGTCGTGGTACGTGAGGTTGGTGAGAGCTTTTTCCCTGGCCTCCGTCTTCGAATGCCCTTTCTCCTGGGTGTTCCCATGTGCTTTCTGGAGCCTCTTGTCCTGGATTTTGTATTGCTGCGAGATGCAGGTGGGCCTGTCCCCGCGGCGGTGCTGGTTCTGGATGTAGTCCTTGCAGGGGTGAGGGCAGGGACTATCTTCACAGTTGTGGGATCTTCGGCAGAAGGTGATCCAGAAGCAAAGCCTGAGGAGGCTGACTGCTCAACTACTGTGGACGGATCAGAAATATCTTTCGTGGTTGTTAATGGTAATGCTATGGTGGTAGTAGAGAACATCATATCAAAGCTAGCTGACGACGATAAAGACTTAATGTCTTCAATTTGTGATGATGCTGTTATGGGAGAAATTGTGACTTTTGCAGCTTCAGAGGAAGTGGAAGAAGACCCAGAAGAGTAGCCAGACAAAGGTCCAGAGGACTGAATAACTGTGTCCTTGTTGATTAATGTTGTCATAGTTGTCATGGGTGTAACCAGTGACTCCAGTGTTGGCAGGAGAGCTGTTGTAACCTCTGCCGGAGCAGTGGTAGTGGTTGTCTTGACAGGGGCACTCTTTGTGGCGAGCACCGGCTTTTTTGGTCTACGTAACCTGTTCAGTAACTCTTTCTGACTGTACCGGTTCCCAAAAAATTTATGCCATGGCACTTTACCATAAATGACTTTGGAGGAAGTCGTTGTAGCTTTAGTGGTTGTTGTATAATAGCTCTCAGCTTTGCCTGTACTCTTGACCAATGTCGTGGGAGCATGTGTGCGCTCAGGAAGGGTATAGGCAGAAGTTAGGACTGATTTTGGGGCCTCTGTTGTTGGCCTGGAAGTAGCCAAGGGTTGTGTCACGGGTGTCGTTATGATCCCTCTAGAAACTTTTGTCTGCAGTGTGATGGTTTTTGTGAACATGGATGATGCAGTTGTGGCTAACAGTGTATCCAGAGTTGTTGTTACAGACTGTGATGTTTTCATCTGAGGAGTGCTTCCCATGTGGGGCTTCGTAGGTAGTTTGTCAATTCTATCTTTAGTCGCTCTGTTGGCATCAGTGGCAGTGTCTTCAGTGGCTACAGGCTTCACCGTACGAGTGTCTGAGGGAGTGTCGGTTATTTGGCACTCACACTTTGTAGTCTGCTCTATAGAAATTGGGTCAGTGCTTTCATCTTCATCATCTGTGGATGTCTTTTTGCTAGACTTAGATAATCTATTCAAGTATGCATGGATATCAGTAATTCTGTTTGGCCTGATAATTCTCCTCCTGCCTGGTAACTTTCTTCTCTTGCTAGTACGTGGCTTATTTCCCTCCAGGCTAGACGTGCCCCCCGTAATAATTTGGATCCGATTGTGTGATATGATGGTAGACCCTGAAGGCAGTCTTGGGGAGCTGATTTTCTGTGTGGTGTGAAACGTTATCTCATCTCTCTGCCCTTCTGTGGCTGTGACAGCTGTGAATGGGCTTTGTCGATCGGGATCAGTGGAACTGTGAACTACAGGCTCCAGCAGAGGGCCGGGTTTCTCTATCAAGGAGGTTGTGTTGGGAAACCCGGTCATCAATAATGGCACGGCACTGCCTACCACCTCTGTAGGCTCCCCAGAATACATCAACTGCATGTCGTTTTTGCTGGGTTCTGTTACCTTCTGTTTCGATGTGATGGGCTTGGTAAAGGTTTGTTCAGAGTTTTGGTGAGGTGTGGTTGTGTGAATACCCTTTGGACTTACAGTATGGTGAAGTGTAGTTTGGAAAGGTGTTGGTCTGGTGGATATCAAAGCTGTATCTTCATCACTGTGACTCATTGTTGTAACAGGGGCTGCTGGTGTTACTATTGGGAACACACCTGTTTCGAGGTGGACACTTGTGGTCACTTTGTGTGTTGTTAAACCAGGGTTTGGTGTATCTGTCACTATTGCTAAAAGCTCGTCCTCTGTTAAAGTTTCTCCTGAGGCTTCTTCTCCATCCCCTGAGAGCCCTGCAATGTGTTGTGATGGTATCCTTTCCGTTGTTTTCTGATTCTCATTTGTTTTATTTTTTTGTGCTTTTTGCATGATTTCCACCCAGCGTTGGGGGTCAGCTTTCCTTGAGGTTGTGTTGAAGGTCCTTCTATTTCCCCAGACACGTCTGGTACTTGAAACTCCATTTCTTCTCTGGGTTAGATCGCTCTTGTTTCTGCCTTGCGTTGTTTTCCTTTTAGGGTACATTCTGCTTGAAGTGAGAGTCCTAGACTCTTGCCTGGTCCTGTGGGAAGCCCTGGCAGAGAGTTCCTCATAGTCTGTTTCCTCCAAGTGGGAGTCGAGCTCATTTCCTGAGCCTTCGCCATCTGACAGCACCTTCTTAACCACCTTTGATGGTACTTCATTCCTTTTAACATCTGAAAACAGTATGCTGGAAGACAAAATGTCTGCTCCCCAAAAATTTGCTGCAAGGCATCGATAGAAGCCTCGGTCCCTCTCCGTAAGACCTTGAATTCCCAAGGTCCCATTTGGATACACTTCTTTATTCCCAAATGACTTGTCTAACACTGTGTGATCCGGTAAAATCCAGTTAATGGATGCTTCAGGATTGCCCTCGGAGCCACAGTGAAGAAACAGACTTTCACCCAGGGACCGGGTAATCTGAGCACCATTTACATCGGTTTCTTCCACATCTGCAGTCAAAACAGTAATCCTGAAGGCAAGCACATCTGCGTCCAGGTAATTTGTGGCTATGCAGCGGTACAAGCCAGCGTCAGAGCTGTCCGCCGCCCCTAGAGTCAACTTCCCCGATTCCGAAATCCGAATCCTCCCGTCTTCGCTGTTGTATGGCGCGCGCACTTTGCTGCCATCCGGCAAAATCCACTCGATTGACGGCTTTGGCTCCCCGAGGGTCTTACAGTCCAGTTCCGCCGTCCCTCCTGTGAGAACCGTGTGCTCTGTTTTCGTGGCGTTGTCCCTCCTGATCATTGCCCAGCTGTATTTATGCGGCTTCGGTGCTTTGCTCTCGACGAGCATCTGAACCTCCGATGAGTACTTGATGTGCAGTGTAGTGAAGGTGGTTGTGGCCCTGTCCAGCTGCAAGGTGACCTCTCCCTGCATCAGCCACGGGGGGTCCGCCTTGATTTCCGCCTCTATGTCGGTGGAAATGTCGTCCTCCTCGTCTGCTGTCTTTTGGTGATATTTGTAAATCATGGATGGAGTCTTTGTCAGAAGCAAACCTCTCTCCAGTTTCAAGGGGGAGTCGCTGTAGGTAGCAAGTATCCTCCACAGCTGCTGAATGTGGTCGTAGTCGATGTTGCAGATCAGAAACGTCGCTAATGTTGCACTTAGCGCTGTCAGGTCTTCCTTCTCCTCTACAGACACACCCCTCATTGAGGCTGGTCTTTGAACTGTACACACAACGCTAGCTTCGTTCTGAGACTGATCCGTCATATTCAGCACCATTGACCCGATAGGTGCAATGAAGTCCCTGGATGAAACCGGAGTGAAATCTCCCTCATCGATCGAGATATTCCTTTGTTTAAGATCGGAATGTATCCAGGGTTTGGAGCAGGATAAGGCTGCAGAGGGGAGCTCCGCAATATCTTTTCCTTTGGACGCAGCAGGAGTCTCACAGGTCGGACACTGCTGACCTCTGGCATACTTTCGATCTCGTTTGCATTTCAGCACCCCTGAGATAAAGAAAAACAAAGAAACTTAATAATATGATGAACAATTAAAATATATTCAGCTTCTGTTAGAATTTTAGAACTTTATCTTTTGTACTTCAGTCAGAGGTCCGATGGGGTGAGATGAGATTGAGTTTGAGACCTCATCAGAGATGACATTGCTCATCCACACACTCTCTCAGCACACAAAACAGTTAATCATTTGTTTTGAAAATTTCATATTTACAATTAAAAAAATGCAAGGTAAAGTCTTTAGGTTGTCTTAAACTCCAATAACATAAAAAACTGCAAATGAGAGGATGCCATTCAGCTTATCTAGCCTGTCAGATAGAAAAGCTTTCAGCTTTTTAGCCTTTTGCTAAAAAGGTTTATTTTTAGTAAGCAAAGCTGACACGAAATGTGCAAAAGATCCATATAAACATCAGTTCACGTGCCCCCTTGTGGACATAAATCATATCACTACTGCCTATTTACTGTAGCTGCAGCAATTTACTGTTTCCCAAACAGTAGTAAGCAACGCTTTCTTTTTTTTCCTCACACTGGTGAATACAGCTCTGTGATCTTTTTTTAATGACGCAGACACTGGAAATTAGACTATAATGTTAAAAAGTAGAATGTGAAACAAGAGATGTTACGTTAAAATTGTACAATGCAGTAGTAAGACCTCATTTAGAATATTGTGTACAGTTTTGGTCACCAGGTTATAGAAAAGATACTGCTGTTCTGGGATCAGTTCTGTTCCCAAGACTTGACAGAATATTATAAATCCTCAAAGGCCTGGACAAAGTGATCCCAGAGGATTTCTTCAGAAAGAAGAGTGAAACACAAACCAGAGGGCACCACTGGAAGTTATATGGAAGTGCATTTAAGGTCGGTACCCTGGTTTCTTTCAAGAAACAGCTGGATGGAATCATTGCATCAGTTGGCTAGTAAGTACTCAAACAGACTTGAAGGGCTAAATGGCCTCTTGCTCATAATCGTTCTTATGTTCTCATGTTATTAAATGCAGGCTGCCCTCAAGAACAGACCAATGAATGTGGAGATGGTATCACTGAAGTCCCAAATATCCACAGTCACAGTGGAATTACTGAAGAAATACTGTCTTCAACAACTCAATCCTTTAAAACAACACTGAGGTGCATGATGCATGTCAATCAATTATTTTTAATGTTGAAAAAAATCATAATATGGTGCATTCTAGAGGTTGAGAAAATTGGCACTAAATTGCACGTGCATAATAATTCTGCTCCTGAAGGCGCTTTTCCCTGCAATACTGATTTCTCCACTACCTGGGTTCTGCTCCATCCACTGGGGAAGCCACGCTGTTCTGCAGTCACAGGACCACGGGTTTCCATGCAGGAAGACGCTCTCCAGCTCCGGGGCGTAGGAGAAGATCTCGGGTGGCAGGCTCCTCAGAGAGTTGTCCGAGAGGTAGATGTTTTTAACCGACGATATTCTGAAAATCTGGCTGAAGCGCATGGTCACGAACGTGTCCGGGTGAAGCTGCTGGAGGGAGTTGCCCTCAAGGTGCACCAGCTTCAGTGAGCTGAGTCCGTAGAAGGCCTCGGGGTGGATAAACTCAATCTTGTTGTGATCCATGTGTAGCCTTACGAGGCTCCGCAGGCCGTGAAATGTGCCCTTGTTGATTTCTTGGACTTTATTGTAACTCATCTTCAACACCTGGAGAAACAGAAACACAATGTCGCTCGAGCACAACCAACACATACAAAAACATGTTTCTCATGCAGTGAGGAGCGCGTGAGAGTGTAGCCTGTGGTTTGCTTCAGTCAAACTGATATGCAGGTCAGATACATGCAGGGTGTTGTGCACACAAGGGATGCAGGGTAAAACTTTTTGCGATTTATAAAGACAGTTGGTGCTCTGGGATTTTTTATAGCAAGAAGGGCCACACTCAACATAGAGTTGTCAAACATTTCCACATTACAAATTTCAATGCATTAGACAAATAATGTAAAGACGTGGTCATGGAATTGATCTCCTGTTAATGTATATTAGAGACCTCCTCCTTTGAAATGGAGTTTGAAGGTAAAGAAGGTTGCAACTTTCTTGGATTGCATATCCAGGGGCCTGATTAATATTTGTTCAGTAAACAGACAGCTCAGAAATTGGTTGATGTTCCCAATTATAAGGATGTAGAGCGACTGTATATGAGTATTATGAGGGAGAGAAAGTGTCCCTAGTCCCCCACGAATGGCCCGTCCAGCCGTGGTTATGTTTTGGACAGGGGCTCTGTCCACTGTTCCTTGCTCTCCCCCAGTGCCCGCGCTAAGTCATGGCCCTTTCCTTGGCCTCTGGCAGGGCCAGAAAGGTGGGGCAGAGTGGTGGCTCTGTGGCCCAGGATCTGCGCCTGTGGCTGGAAGGTTGCCTGTTCGAATCCCACAACTGGCAGAGGAATCCTACTCGGTTGGGCCCCTGAGCAAGGCCCTTCACCCCAGCTACTCCAGGGGTGCTGTATAAATGGCTGACCCTGCACTCTGACCCCCAGCTTCTCTCCCTGTCTGTGTGTCTCTTGGAGAGCAAGCTGGGGTCTGTGAAAAGACAGACTCCTAATACAAGAGATGGTATATGGCCAATAAAGAGATCTTATCTTATCTTAAATGGACCCGATTGGCTGGCGTGGCCGATGGCAATGCTGCCTTGGGAAGCTCTGCTCCCGCTCTCCGGTGGACCCACTGCACAGGGGTGGGAGGGGGAGGAGGACGACCGCGCGGCGCTTCTGATTTGTGCTTCTGGACCGAGGGAGGGGGGTGTTCCAGGCTGGCAGTGGGTGACAGGGTGCCGATCGAGCTCACTTTGCCCAGCTTTGGAACTTTAGAATGAATAAAACCTACAGTAGCTCACGAGAAACAGACGTTCCCGACTGTGCGTAAGATAGAGTGACGCAAGGAAACAGGACGTTTGCTCGCCGTACCTGCAAGGACAGCAGATCGCTGAAGGCCTTGTCCTCTATCGTCTGGATCGCATTGCTGTGCAACATCAACAGCTCCAAACGTCCTAGCCCAGAGAAATCTCTTTCTTTTAAGCCAGTTAAACTGTTGTACCTGAAAATAATAAAATAAAGTCTGTGTTAGGCACAGGAACAGCAGGACATGGGTGAGGATAAAAAAAACTTCTATGGCATGACCTGAAGAAATCTAGTATCTAGGTTTTCTGGATTTTCAGATTTTCTATAGGAGACCAGCAAAAAAATGCACTGCTAGTGTAACAGAAGTGAGAAAAAAAACAGGTGATTGAAATGATTAATCACAGAGTAGATCACAGTTTGTGTTTTTAACTTAGTTGCCATGCTTCAACAATGAAAGTATTATGAGACAGAGATCTTACCCAAAGTTAATGCGTTCCACAGCTGGCTGAATTTCACCCGGTATAGCTGTGAGATACCTGAAGGTACAGTGCACTTCAGTGGGAACATAACAAGCACAGGACCTGGGGCAGCCTGTGCTTCTGGGAATCATTCTAGCCCAAAAGCACAAAAACGCCAGCAACCTCCACCGTAAGTATACAGTGCCTTGGCTGAAGACCTTCATTCTGGTGAAAGATATTTCACATCACTGTCACAAAAGTACTGCTGTTTCCATGGATCACTACAGTCCTGTGGTAAAGAGAAAGATGTTAGTTTACACAAAGTTGAAGCAGCCCAAAGTAATTCAGCCATGTCTTAAGAGCTGCCCTGAATGCACGTTCATCATGTGTGGTGTAGTTTAACTGCAGAAACGAATGCCAAAGCAAATGCCTCCACTAGAAACTTAATTGCTAAAATCTTCTAACATGAAATAGTCTGTCTTCCCTTTGCTGCATCATCATTCATCCTGAGGGCTGTCTGTTTCACAAACCGTCATTCAAACATCATTACTTACGAAAAAAAAACATTTTCTAAAAAGACAAACACCAATATTACCCTCTATATAGTACTAATGAAACATTTCAGAATGATTAGGAGACCAGATTGTCACAATACTATTAAAGGGTGTGGTGGAGGTGTGTGTGTGTGTGTGTGTGTGTGTGTGTGTGTGTGTGTGTGTAAAATAAACTAAGTATGCATGATTATTGCACCAAGAGTGATATTTCTTAATTCTAGAAATCTGCTTTTCATCGAATCCCTGGAGGCTAACCTTTTCAGTGTAGCTTAGCCTACAGCTGGATTAGAAAATGTCCCACAGCCAGTACTGTACATTGATTATAAAAGAACAAAGAAATAAAAAAAATCACTCAGGTTTAACTAACCTTAAAGTCTCCAGAATGAATTTAGATATACTTTTCCCAAAACAAAGTTGTTTTGTACTGGTCCTCTAATAGCATTTCACATTGGAATATGTGTACAAAAAACGTGATGAACCATGTACTCAAATTATTTAAATACTGTATATACACTATATATGATATGTAAAACAATTCTGAATTGCATCAGACATATATGCTATATACTGTATAAGTCACTGGTTAACAGGCACTCTAAATACGTGACTACTACTGAAATTATATGACGTCTATGAGACGCTATTGCTATTGTATAACATTATTGTATAACGCTATTGTATGATGCTATTGTATAACATTAAAAAAACATTTTCCGTCATTTATACTTAATAAAAGTATATATTTTCATTCTAAAGTTTTATTGAAACTTTTGTCTCCTCACATTCAAGGTAAACCGATATTTTAACTACTAAACCGTAATGTTTTATTAATGCTGTTTTTTTGGATGTCGTTATTGTTAATATCTAAAGTACCTGTTGATGTTAAACCTCTCCAGGAAATTAACTTTCTCAAACTGGATTGTTTTTACACCATTTTGTTAAGAAATAATCTTCCCGTTTTAAAAGCGAAAACATACAAATCTATACAGGAAAAAAAAAGTTTATTGCAATAAATCACATTTGACACTTTTGCACATGGATTTTGTATAGAATCTTTAAATTAACTTCAATTATTCTACAAATATATGAATCCATTTTAAGAACACCCTGCTACAAAACCGCAGGAAATACCTATAACAATAGAAAAGCGCATTCACTTTCACGGTCCTAAACGCAGTGTCATCTAATTATGCGAGACTTTTTCAGAGAATCCTACTTACACAAACTGCTCGGTCAGAGCTGGGCAACTAACAGACGCCGCATTTTAACAGCACAAATCCGCCTGGCTCTCGGAGGACGCTTGCTGAAATCCTTGATACTATTTTTTGTTTGTTTGTTTGTTGTAAAAACAAAAAAAAAAGAAGCAGTTTTGACAAAACAATCACCTGCCTTAATCCCAGCCAGGTCCAGAAGCAGATTGGCCGGCACTACCCCGGGCGCAGAGAGCCGTGAATGCATGAGGATGCGCGACAGCACCGGGCTTTTCGCTGAGCGCTGGGGTTCCGCCCACTCCAGCACCGCACGTGCCCCCAGTCCATTCTTCTGCGCCCGGAGACCCGACTCCCGGCGCGGTCGGGACACCTCTGCGCCGCCTTCGTTTAACTCATTTCTCTCCCTGCTAATCCGAAAATCTCTACAGTGCGTTACGGGGATTCTCTTTCGCGCTGCTGCGCAGGTACTGTACAGTACGTCCCCCACAACCCTGCATGCATTCGCGAGTCAGATGCCTGCAGAGTCAGATGCCCAAAGAAGAGGGGCAGACACGATCGGGCGACAGATGGAAGATGAAAGTTTCGCGAATGGACAGAGCTGAAAGGAGCATGTAGTTAATGACAAAAATAAACAAGAACACCACCACCAACAGCAATAATAATAATAATAATAATAATAATAATAACAATAATAATAATAATAATTATTATTATTATTATTATTA